ATTTTAGATTTTTTATATTTAAAATGAGATGTTTATCCTGTATTTGATTGTGTTTATCTGCAGTTAGTTACACGAATTCAGATATGGGATGAAATCGTTTAGGGATGAATGGGTTTAAGAGTTTTAGCCAAATGCTTTATAATATAGTATAGATATATTTTAATTTTTCACATATTTGACCTGTAACCTACTGATTTTGTAACATTTGATGACGTGGATGTCAAGTTTATCTTCCGCTTTACCATAATCCCTTCGTATTCACGTCAATAAATGTTACAAAATAAGCAGATTACCGGTCAAAAAGGGTATACGATTTTTTTTTTCTGAAATTTTGTGAGACCAAATAAATAATATCGAACCTTTACAACAGAACAGTCACTACAACAAATTGGCTTTATTGGACACGTAGATTGTCTAAGTGTCTTAATAGAATACTTTATAGACTTAGTTTTATAGGACCAAACTATAAAACGTCTTATTTAAATATAGCAAGCTTTTAGGCATTTTAGCAAGTTTTTTAGGAGGCTTTTAGAATAAAGTGACATGTTAGCTATTTTATACGACACTTTTGAGAAATGTCTTATAACCTAATTTTTTTATAGGACATCTATGTTTATAGAACACTTTTTTTCAAATAGTGTCATATAAAATAGTCCATACAACACTTTATTTTAGAAGCGTCCAAACGAACTTGTTAAAACGCCTAAAAACGTCATATAAACCTATGTAGCACTTTTAGATATGACACCTTTTGGTTTGGTCCTATAAATTTAAGTCGTAATAAACGTCCGATAAAATCAACTCTGGTGCAGTGAATACAACTTCACAGTGTTTTTGCTGTGAAGATGTGGGTTTTTTTGTACCTTCACAATGTTCTGCTGTGAAGTTTCAATGTTATTTTATGGTCTCACGAGTTTCACGAAAACAGGTTGGTCTCACGTGAACCCAACCCAAACTTTATTGCATTTTGATGTATTTTGCTCTTTAACAATGGTTACAAACGATGGTTAAGATGGCGGATGCATGGTTAGGTTCTTCATTTTGAATACAAGAAGTTCACCGGGAACATCTCGGGTGCCGGCATGGTTCCAGGCGTAGGATTTCGAGCGAAAGATTGGGGACCTGCACCCCGATGGGTTGCTTTCGTGGACTTCTTTTTAGCTGCTCGAGCTACACACGCTGTGATTACGGGTGCCCAAAGACGTGTCGGCACCACCTACGCACAGCTTGTTGCAGCACTAGCTGCAGCTTATCAACTCGGTAAACGAATCCCGTCCCAAGATTTCTTGAGATCTTTCGATTCAAATATCCTTTCTCAACTCGGTAAACGAATCCCGTCCCAAGATTTCGGTTTATTTGGTTTACTCGAAACCAAACAATAATAACCGAACACTGAACTGAATTAACGAAATAAACAATTATAACTGAACCGAAAAAACCGGAAACCGAATAACCCAAATTTCATTCGGTTCAGATGGGGTTTTGGGTTTCTACGACACCCCGACTAGTTGTTGGTATGTTTAGATTTCTTCGAATATAAACTCGTTATTGGTGTAAATTTCAGACGAACACCGTTCCGGCCCAGCGAACTTTTCGTTCATCAGTAGCTTCCAGAACAATCTTCTGCATCGAGGGTTGCAGAATCAAGTCGGATGGGGTCATGTTTGGAACCGATTTGCCGGCCGGTTAAGTTGCCATAGCCAGCCGAACCAGTGTGCGCTCACCCCGGTTCTTCCGCCTGGTTGGTGGGACGGGCTGTGGCAGTCACCAATACCACGAGATATTCGAAGAATGGAAGCGTACGGGGTGAAACTAACGGGATTTGGGACTATTGACGAAAACCATCTTCGGGATTATTGTAAGGCTAGAAAATCTGCCGTAAGAACTCTTCCGATCACTCGTAAATGCATCGGACTGAAATGCGCTTAACGAACCCGATATCGGGTTCGTTAGGTTGTAAGTTTAGGCTTCTTTAGAAACATCGTTATATTCGTTTGGTAATTGTTTACACAACTGAAATCCGTATTCGATTTTACTACCGGTGGACTTGTTATGAAATGTATTTTTTGGGCACAACAAGGACAAAATGTACGAAATAACAACTTGTTTTTATAAATTTTCTTATTATAATAATGTACTTTTAAAATATTTTTTATTAGGGTATCGAACTTTAAAAATTTTACCCGTTATAGTATTAAGTAATCTTTTAAATTAAATTTACCCATTATACTAGGTTTCTTTGTCACCATCATCGTCCATGTAGGCTGTCCACATGTACGATAGTTCTGTCATGACATTTCTTATTATAACATTGTACTTTCAAAGTTACTTTATTATAACATCACCAATTTCTATTACAGCATTGTACTTTTAATTTTAATATTTTTTATGTTTAAACATTGTAAATTTAATCAAATATGTTTACTAAAATTTATAATATCAGAAATTAAACATGTTTACAAAAGATCACTATTTCACGAATAAAAATATTCATAAAAAACCATTCGTTCTAAAACTTAAAAAATCTTTTGCAGTAAAAAACGTTCTAAAACTTAAAAAAATCTTTATTTTCATCATTTTTAATAATCTGTTGGAGATATTTTAAAGACGATTTTTAACTTGTTATTTTTTTAAGCTAAATTCTTAAATTTTACTCAATGTTACCGAAAATGTATAATTTACATTAATAAATCAAAATTGAGGGTAGTTGATGAAACAACTCCTCCCACATGGATAGAAGATGAAAATTGTTAGCTCCTTGTAAGTATCAAGTAGTGAGCTATCAATAACTCCCACCATGATTTTAAGTTAGATTCGAAGTTATTCGGTCAGTCCATTGCTTTAGGCTTTGGGGGTGTTAGAAGTGGCACAACGTTAAAACTATCAAAAACCCATAATTGTAAATACATTTATGGGTCAAGGTTTTCTAAAAGAATTACACATATAAATTTATTAATCATGTAATACACAATATCATACTCAATCTCAAAAACGCTAAAAAAACAAAGTTTTATTGCTCAGCAAGTACAGTAGAATCATTATAGATTAGGGTTTCTTCCGCTCCACATATTTTGCACGGATGTTTAAAGCTAACATTTGTTAGGTTTCAAATCATGAAACCGACCCAACGTCTCCCCTCTCTCACTTTTTAATCCTCACATCAATCGTTCAAATATATGCGGATCGCTTTGTTCATGCTTTATTGCGTTATTGTCTTTTTTAAACTTTTGTTTTCATTTTACGGTAATCCATAATTGGGTTGGAGGAAAGAAGTCCGACATCTTTTGGGATAAGTCTAATATACATTATGTTTTTTTTTTTGTAAAGATAGACTTGGTATTGAAATAATCTGTTTTAGTATAAAAAAACTGTAAACTGTTTGGAACAATGGGAATGAAAACTTATTTATCCATAAAAAATTGTTGGTCTCGAATGGGATAACAATAAGCAGATAGTAATTGTAGAAGGGGAGGGGGTGAATACAGTTACACAGACATTTTTTTCAACTTTTTAATTCTTATTGATGTATATCAAGAATTAAAACACAAAGATACAATAAAGATTGTTGTGGAAGAAGGAAATGATAACCTAACCTAAACAATCTTACAAGAAGAAGAACTTACAAGAACAACACTGAGAGTACTTGCAAGAAAATGAAGAACACACTAAGTTTTTCTTTACACACATAAGACTAGGGGAGTAGAAGAAGAGAGAGCTGATTGTCTTCAACATTAAATGCATGAGGACACTTGTCACTTGAGACAAACTTTTGTAAAGATATGGTCAATTTGTATGAATTTTTTTTTGGATGGATTAGTAGCTTCAAACTGCTAGTTATAAATCTTCGATGCATGAAGATTTTCCTTCAATCCGCTTGTAGCTTCAAAATATCTTCAATCTTCAAATCAGCTACTATGGAGTCTTGGTGTGTAATTTAGACAGTTGATCCAGAGTACCGCATCGGTGACCTTCTGTCTTCACATCAGCTAGTCTTCGATTTTGCCAATGGCTTTAAGTATGTATCAAGACATCAATATACAAAGAAACCATTAACTACTAAGTATTGATAGAATAAAGGAACAAATCAGTGGATCATCACCAAATCAATAGGTGACCCAACAAAAATAGATCAGTTCTAATTACAAACAATTTCGTCGTGAATATCCTATTTTAAGAAGAAAAAGTAGAAAGTGTGAAAACATTTCTATTTCATTTATCATATGAATCATAAATGGAAACAAATATTAGATATCCGTAGAGTTGTTTGTTTTATAAATTTACAAAATAATAATTTAGAATGCATAAAATAAGACAAATAACAATCTGTTAAAGTTGAAATTATACAGTTTGTAGTACGCGTTTTTGCAAAAAATGACAAATCAACTAACATGATCTAAAGACACTTGTCAACATCTCACACTCTGTCGATCTTGTCATCAGATTATTACAGCTCTGATCACAACGATGACATTTTTATCAACAATGTCGTTCAAGAACATATATTTTTTGGAAGATTTTTGTCGGTTTAAAGAAATGATGCATACTTTTTCAAAAGTATCACTACTAACAAACCGTTTATAACTGTCTAAACAAAACACAGTTAAGTTTCAACATCTGCCCAATTCGATGGCGCCACAGTTCTCACAACATTATCGTGTTTTGAACTAGTGGTGCACATATAATTAATAAATGAAAGGACAGAGAATTCGTGACGAGATTTTCAATCGTCCTTTCTTTTAAACAACGTATACAGTTTGTTGGCTGCCACTTTTAATCCGATGGCCCAAATCGTAAAAGACGTATGGCCCCGTGACACATGCTACCCTTGACTCGAGTCACCAGCGCATCGACCATCTATCAGATCGTGGCGATACCAAACACGGTCTTCCAAAAAACCTGTTGTTATTGTCTACTTTGCAAGTCAATAATTTGACACCATTTGTACATGAAAGATTGATTGATAATATCATTGACAATATCATGTGAAAACAACTTTTGTACCTTCAATTGGTTGTTCAGAAAGTAAATTTTGTCCCCTTTTAACAATTTTTATTTCAAAAAGAATTATCACCGTAAAATAATACAGTAAATGGTTACTGTAACGGTTTTCTTTGGTAAACCAAACTAAACGAACGTAATATCTTCTACTTGGAAGCAGGGTCGGGTGGTGCAACAATTTTACCAGTTATTGGAGAGAGAAAAACTGTATTGCTGACACACAGTTCTAGACACAGAACAACTTGTAGAGATATAAACGTGTCAAAAAAAAACATTTAATACGCGATTTTGACGTCGGATAGATACGGTTATAATTTATTTTTCCGACGTCGACCAATCATGTTAAGCTTTTACGATAGTCGATAGAAAAAACGAACGACATGTGAAGGATGTCCAAGAGGTAGCAGGGTTTGATGGAGAGAAGACACAAGACCCACAACATTTTTGTATGGTTTCCAAAATGTGTTGTGTAACATTTATTGGCTTCGAATCTAAGGCGAAACCAGTTCGATTTTGGTTTCGAATGTGAAACCGATGGTTTTCGATCTGAAAAATGGTTCGGTATTTTGTCTCGTGTTCGTAGAAACCGACAACTAATAAAGACGATGAGTTTGTAAAACTGTTCCACGTAAAAAAAATGTTTTAATTACTTAAAAATTATTTTTTTATAAGACGTTTAATATATAAAAAAATTCAACAGTGTTTCATAAAAAAAACTTGTAAGACAAGACTTGGATCACGTGAGACCAGCCTGTTTTCGTGAGACCATTTTTTACACTTGAAACTTTACAGCAAAACACTGTGAAAGTTCGACTTTTTTTTTTTTTTTTTTTTTTTTTTGTTGTAAATTTTCAAGTGTAAAATTGTTGTCTCACGGAAACAGTTTGGTCTCACGTGAACCCAAGATGGTCTCACATGAACCAAACCCTATAAGACGTTATTTTGTCACTCATTTTTATGTTAATTCGTAAACCAGCCATTTTTTACGTAAATGCANTTGTAAGACAAGACTTGGATCACGTGAGACCAGCCTGTTTTCGTGAGACCATTTTTTACACTTGAAACTTTACAGCAAAACACTGTGAAAGTTCGTTTTTTTTTTTTTTTTACCTTTACAGCGTTTTGCTGTGAAAGTTCAAGTGTAAACAAATGGTTTCACGGATCTCATGAAAACAAGATGGTCTCACATGAACCAAACCCTATAAGACGTTATTTTGTCACTCATTTTTATGTTAATTCGTAAACCAGCCATTTTTTACGTAAATGCATACTTTTTACGCAAATGTCCATTTTATCCTTTTCTTTTTATCATAATAATGTGGTTAATTTACGCAAATCAGTAAAACATCTACGTAAAAGATAACTAGTTTAGGAATTAGCTTGAAAACGTGGCTAAAAATTGGCTATTTTAGTCAATTTCCCGTAAACAATTAACTAGTTGTAAAAAAAGTACATTATTGTCGTTGTTCACCAATTCCGTCATGTCGATGAAAACAACGTCTCAACAACTTGACCTCTGCATAAAAACCGCCATTAAAAAAAAAGAAAATCGTAAAATTTAGTTTATAAGGGTTTATATATAATCATATAAACTTTATATTATCGTCTTGTAAACCGTAATAAATTTATTAAAAATTAAACTTACAAACTACTGAATCTCGAAAATAAATTCTGATTCTGTAAAGAAAATTAAACGGCTTCGAAAACAAAGTAACAAAAAAACAGAATCCGGAAAGAATTAAAATACCTGTAAAACTTCGTTTTTCAAGAAAACGAACACCGAACACGTACCTCTTGCTAGTTGTACGTTTACGACAGCTTTTTTTATTGTCATAAATCGTACTATGATGTGATTTACGTTCTTGAAAACATACACGAAAACGTTACAGATGTACCTAATTTTGGATGCTTTCTTGATTTAAAAGAAAATAGCAAAAAATGTTGGAACAAATTAATAAAAAAAAGGTTGAAATTCTGTAGAAACAGAGAGTTTTATGGATCCTAAATTCATGGAACTCGAAGGGCAAAATCGGAAAGGGACCTTTTAAAGACGTAATCAATGGGTTGTTTATCAAATACTTATCCGGTAAGTGTTTACCGGTAATATTTAACACCATTATGTACTTACTGGGTAAGATTTTGGTCCACTAAAACGACATAGTATACAATAATTTACCCGGTAAGCGCTTACCGTGATAAAAGTCGTCGCCCTCACTTACCGGGTAAGACTCTCCATCATTATCTCATTTCTACCGGGTAAGATTCTTGGTCCTTACTATATTCATCCGATGAGGTAATGTTATTTGGTAAGCATTTACCTGGGCAAACGTTTGGTAACGGCCCCTAAGTATATTAATTAAGCTTTTTTATTTCATTAGTAATTAAGAGTTTTAATGATGGTTAATCTATATGCTAATTGCTAGCTTTTTATCTCCTCTTGCAAGTAACATAACATTCTCATAATACACACACACATATATATATATATATATATATATATGAAAACGGGTAAATCATGTATAAAATCAAATGTGATTTTACATTAAGGATCAACGTAAAGGTCTGCAGTCGACGTGGCACGCGACCTTCGCGTGAATCACATGTGATTTGCACGTGATTTTAGTGTAAAATCATAGTATAAAGATAGATGAGAAGATATTATCACGAGAAAGGAGAAACTTCCTATGCGAATTACTGGAAAAAAAAATCATTTGAAGATGCATATGTGAATATATATGAATAATCTGTAACGTGGATTCATATATGCATATTCAATTAGAATTTTCAATAATTCACATGTGAATATTTCATTACTAAAATGAATTTATTGAACATCAAATTGATTTATTATGATAATCATATATCAAATACATGAGAAACAAAATAACATGAGGTGTTAGATACCTAATTAATTAAGGTTTGATAATTTTCAACTAATTAAACCATGGATGGAAATGCAATCAAGTAGTAATCAAGAAAACCACAAGGATCCATCTGCATGATGCACGATCGAACCATGCATCAATCAGGATGAAAACCGATGATATGTATCGAGCTCGATCGATCACGCCGCAACTTCGATGGCGTGAGCTACGGGTGCTTGAGGTGGTTCGACAACCAAATGATCGTGGACGATATCATTCACGTTCTCGTTTAGTTTTGTGACGACGGGAATCGAACACATTAAAGCGCTCAGTCTCACGACGTCGATGATCTCTTGATCTCTTTTCTCCGAGATTTTTCGTTCTTCGGTTTCCAAGTTCTTCCCTTCTAATTCCGTCACTTTTTCGTCCGACACTTTTTCGTCGCTAACCGGCTTCTTGTTTTTGTATACAAAGTAAAGGATCATTTGAACAACACCGAAGGTGAAGCCAAGTACGTTTGGAATCTGTCATGTACATAAAAAGAAATTCAATCATTAATTAATTCGAATTTTTTTTAATTTAAATGTTAAAAAAAAGTTATAATCTTTTTCGTACCGCGATGTTGAAGTCGTGAAGAAGTAGACCGTAAAAGAACCATGTAATAGCGTTAAGGGTGAGCGCAGCCGATAGCAGAATCGGCATGTACTCAACGCTTTTCGTTTTAATAACTTGTCGCTGAAAAACATTTAATAATATAATATATTAAAAGAAATTGACGAGAATAACAACTGTTATTGTTACCGTTATTGTTATATGTTATATATATAGATATACGCACCACAACGCCCAAGGGTGCTACGAAAACGCACAAAGCGAAAATAAGACAAATCCATCCAACTATCGCGACCCGAGTAGCCCCATGTGCAAGAAACTGAGTCAGGGCAACGATCAATCCGAAGCCAACAACTATCATCAACACGATTAACTTCACGCTTTCGATCTGCAAACATAATATTTCCATCGATAATTGTTCTTTTCAAGATACAATTGATAACGAAAAAACCCTAATAGACAAAACTAACTAAAAAAGCACGATTCGCACATACCCTGGCCTTCTTCGGTGCGTAAATGAGGAAGAAACAAATGTAGAACGTCTGGATGAAGCAGCCGACGGAGTTAATGGTAATGAGAAGCATTGCATTGGACTTAAGCAACGCGTAGTATATCCAAAGCATCGCGCTGAATAATCCCACGACATACGGCACCGATTGAAACCCTTCTGTCGATTTCTTCTTGTAAACTTTATAAAACGTCGGTCTGCATTTTAATCACAAACGAATTAGCGAAACGTTAAACGACGAAATTAACCGAGATTAATTAAACTTAAGAGAAAGTAAGAGACTTACAATGGGGAAAGAAACACCATGAATGATACAACATTGCCTACACAACACATTCATAAAGCAACATGTTAGAAATTAAAACAAAGGGAAGTACTAATTCTAGTTTATGAACCACAAAATATTACAAGAAAATCCGTCTTTTAAAACGTTCGATTATTATCATCGAACATTTTATTAAAAACTTAAACACATTTTTAAGTTTATAAGACCAAAAACTATATGTATTGTTATCAATAGAAACACACCCAAAGGTACTAGTTTCCTTTATATATATATATATATATATGTATATATATATATATGTATATATATATATATGTATGTATATGTAGTAGTAGTAAGGAACATATATTCAAGTGTGTTTACTATAACATGCATGGTAATGTTATATATATATATATATATATATATATATATTCTCATGCATATAGAGCTAGAGAGAGAGAGGAATGAAGTGAGAGAGAGAGATTTAGAGAAAGATAGGGAGAGAGGGATGTAGAGATACAGGGAGAGAGAGAGAGAGAGAGAGAGAGAGAGACGGAGAGAGAGATTTAGAGAGAGAGAGAGAGAGAGATACCAAGAAGGCCAAATGCAAGAGTAAGATGAGCAAAGCTTCCTGAAGTCATCTTTTTGCTGTATGGAGTTTGAACACACACTCAAGACTTAACACAGACAGACAAAGAGCTGAACACAGACAGACAAAGAGGGAAAGAGAATTGCAAATTCTCTCTCTTCTTTCTCTCTCTTGTTATGAGTCCAGATGATGAGTGGTGGTGCATAGAAGAGGGTTGATTGAAGGGTTTTATAGGGGCAGAAAAGCCAGTGGGTCCCACCCCCATTTTTTCTTTAACTTTGCTTCTCATTTCTAACCCTTCAATTATTTTTCATTTTAATCTTTCCAAATGCAAAAAAGCATTTTGGTCATGGAAACTGGAAACTTACTTCATTGGTCCAATTTAATTAATATTAATATTTACTTTTAATGATTTTATTATTCAATTAATTAACAAAGTTTTATGTATAAATTGTTACAAAACTAATTAATAAACATCAAGAAACCATTTTTTTTATATTATATTACAATGTTTCAACTCTTTATTTTATTTTTTTCATTTGATTCGTTATTTCATGTTACGATTTTGAGTTGAATTAAAAATTATTGAGTTACTTTTTTTTAATGTGACCCTTTTGATATTGTCCCATAAATATAAAGAAACTCTTTGATGTTTTATTCATTATACACACATACATACATACATACATACATACATACATACATACATATATATAAAGAAACTGTTTGATGTTTTATTCATCATACACACACACATACATATAAATATATATATAAAGAAACTGTTTGATGTTTTATTCATCATACACACACACACATACATATACATATATATATATATATAGAGAGAGAGAGAGAGAGAATGGTTCAAACGAGAACACCTTCATAAGCCCCTTCACAAGTATTATCACATGTGATAAAGTTGTTGTTGATATGATACTATAATCCATCAAAACCATCACAGGTGATACTAAATCATAGACGTAAACAATATTTGACGTGGCCTAAGTCGTAGAACACGTCGTCCACACATCACAGGGTCCCCTCACGCGTATCATCACATGTAATAAGGGTGTTCTCGCATTCTCATAAAATAGAGGTGTTCTCGTTTAAACCACCACCTATTAATTAATACATATATATGTGTGTGTGTGTGTGTGTTACCGTGACGACATGAATTCATGTAGAAAAATACAGAAGGATGTTTAATAAAGATGAAATAAAAGAATATTAATTTATTTGTAATAACAATAACTTTAACAAACTTTCGTCTCGAAAATTATTACGATTTTTAACGACAAATTGCATAAAAATGCCGTATTTAGAAATAGTAATGTATTTTATTAGATACCAATGAATATTGATGTCCTCCTATTTATGGATATATTTTTTATATTAGAATCTAACTAAATGTTTCTAATATATATATATATCCATATAATAGCAACAAATTAAAACACATGTAAAGAGCTAGCTGTAGATACAAAATCAAATAATAAAAATGGAGATCCCCGATCGTACACGTTTTTTTTTATTATATCACTTGTTCTTTATACTCCAACGATACTAATTTCACGTAGACAAACTTTAATTTTTAACGAGTTTCGTTTATTAGATGATTTAGCAATTGAATTTATTTCGTTAAGTGGTTTTCAGTTAACATTTCCAACATATTTTAAAATACAGAAAATAGAGATTTTAAGGATTTTAATTAAATCCTTCAAATTTGAAGAAATCCCAAAAAAATAACCGTTGAAAGAAAATTGATTTTTTATTATTCCTACCGATAGAAATCCTTGAAATTAATATTTATAAAATAAAATAATATTTTAAAAAATGTATTAAATATTTTAATAATATAATTAATATTGTAATATATAAAATAAAAAGGCTTTTGGATTTTAAATGCATTTCTTGTTTTAAGATTTTGATTTTTGAGTCTATACATTAAAGAAAATTTGATGGAAATGCTTTAAACGAGTGCTAATAATAATTCTTTTGCACATCATATTAAGGGGGTGTTTGGGATTGTTTATAAAAACAATTTATTGACTTAATCAGGTGTGACACCAGTAATAAACATTTTTAGTGTTTGGATAAACAACTTATACCGGTGCCAAACCGATAATAAGAAGTTTTTGAAGAAGTTAAACTCTTCTGACTTATAATAAGTTGATAAGTACTTTTGTAGGAAAACATAAGTTGTTTCAAATTAGCAAATCCCAAACACCCCCTAAATCAACACACTTTGGATACAAAAGAATTCATATTGATATACAATATTCATGTAAATCAGATACTTATTACATATGGACATGGTAAATGGGTAACATGCTTGCCCATTTTAAGACGCGAATTTAGATAACTATTAATACCCTTAATTAAGTTGCTTGTTAGACATACCTCTTAATTTGAATTCCTAATAAACTTGCACTTTTTGAGGCTCAAATTTAGTCAAGTATCTTACCCTCCCTTTGATTACAAACCAAAATATGCTTATTACCTCCCATTTTCACGGTGGATGTTTCTTCACCAAGGTGCCACTTCAATTTCTTTGTGTCACCCACTATCTAATCTTGAAGGAATACAACTCATTATATTTACACCTTTTGCTTCTCTTTTTTTTTTTTTTTGCAATCAAGACACATACATATATATATATATATATATCTATATATATATATATGGATTTATCAAGGAAAAACTGAATTGTTTGTGGTAACTATGAGATCTAATCTCAACCACACAAATTAATAATCAATGGTTGAAAATAAAAGAAAAATTAATTACTGAAATTCCAAAAATAACTCTCTAATATTTAATGTGAGTATGTAAATAAGGGCAAAAGGGTTAAATTTTTTTTTTAATTTAATAGACTATTTTGAGCGCCCCAGAATCCCGGAAATCTTCTAAAATCAAAACAAAAAAAAACAAAATATCTGACAGTAAAGGTGTGTATAATCCATACGAGTGACGTCCCAGGTTGGAGCTCAAACATCACTCATTTGCCAACGGGATGCATGCATGATTTGATTTACCTTCCTCATGATATGGGATCGATGCATGCGATGGGGATCTTCTAGAGGGTAGCACTGATCCTTTTTTAAATTGGTTCATATATTAAGGACATGTAGTATCATCTCCAATTCTACTTCAAACCCGCTTTAGATATACAAAACAACTTCTGTTCCCACCATGATACTCGCAATGACGGGAGATCTGAATCCGATTATGAACAGGTCTTGCAAAATACTGTCTCGTGAGTCAAATTTCCATCTGTATTCTAGACTGAGAATGAGATGTGTTGGACCAATGGATGTTGCCATGTCAGCACCAATAATACTGGTGGGGTCAAGAGAATGGGACCCATGCACTAGCTTAGCTTAATTAAACATAATAATCTTGATGTGCTTATGTAAGCTTATCATATTTTGGAAAGTATTTTTGGTGGTATCATCTTATCTACCACCATAAATCTTGCACATTTCTTGAAATTCTAGAATCCCATTTTGAGATTAAGAATTAAAATTCAATTAAGTAATAATAAAAGTATGCAGTCTGATTGGTTTGAGCTTGTCTCCAAAGGTCAAAAGTATCAGGAGGTCTCAAGTTCAAATCCAATGAGGAATAAAAATCTCCTTGTAGCCACAGAGGTTCAAATGCGGTGACTCCGGGCTATCTGCAAAGCAGGTGGTCGTCCTGGGATTAATCGGCTCGCGTAGCGGGTTGGATATTCAGGTTAATAAAAAAAAGTGTCGATCATATACGACTAAAGAAAGGAAAAATATCTGATATATGGTATCATGTACAATTATATATGTAATCAAGGGAGAAAAAGGATCCGTAATAACTCGGGACAATAATTTTGCCCTTTTGGTGTTCGTCACACCTTACATTAGAAAAGTTATACACGTTTTGTATTTAATTGCTTCTATCTTTCAATCATCGGTTTGTTAGATTAATTGTGATCTTTAAAGCTACGAGAACGTTTTTGTCATTTATGAAATTCTTTAATATGAACGGTAAAATATTAATTCAATAACACAAAAAAAATTTATCAAATTAATAAATGGATGGTGATAAATAAATAAATTACTCATTTTAAAATCAAATTTAATGAAAGTATTTTTCATGATCAAGTATCACGTAAGCAAAATATTCTTCAATAATAACCACAAGGGTGGTGCCTGATTGGTTTGAGCTTGGCTCCAAAGGTCAAAAGTACCAGGATGTCTCAGGTTCAAATCCAATGAGGAATAAAAATTCACTTGTGGTCACGAAGGTTCAAATGCGGTGACTCCGGGCTATCTGCAAAGCAGGTGGTTGTTCTGGGATTAGTTGGCTCGCATAGCGGGTTGGATATCCAAGTTAATAAAAAAAAATATTCTTCAATAACTACAGAGTTGAAAAAACTTGCAGATCGAAATCAAAGTCACTAATATGTTAGATGATCGTTGATGGGCAAAATGATGAATTTGAATCTTATTAAAACCGGAAAACGTTGTGAGCGATTATACTGAAAATGTTCAATATTAATTCCAACCGGCTATACGATTCGACTAATTCCAAGACGACCACCTGCTTTGTGGGTATCTTGGAGTCACCGCATTTGAACCTTCATGGCCACAAGAGGATTTTCATTCCTCCTTGGATTTGAACCTGATACCTCCAGACACTTTTGACATTTGGAGCCTAAACTCAGACCAATCAGGCACCACCCTTGTGGTTAATTAAAAGTATTCATTATATCTTGAAACAAAAATAATATTAATTAATTTCTTATACAATTTTCATGAAATATCTATAACTTTGTTACGTTTATATGAACGATATGTATACATTAAATGGTCAAAATCATTACTTGTCCTAGATAGCAACTAGAAATATTAACGATACACAATTATTGGATACATGATTGCTAGCTAGCTGATGTACGTCTTTATATAAAACAAATCTTCATAAATCTTAATCTTGACCATGCATGCATGTGTTTCAGTGAACGGGGGAGCAACGGCTGATCCAAAAGCAAAGATACACGTATATAAAAGTTTAAAGCTTTTCTTAATCAAATGTGTGTTATTGAAAAACCCACGTAATCTGATTTTGAGGTATGATTCATTGCATACATACCAAAGTAGACAAAATTTTGGTCAATACAACTAAAAAACAGTATTGCATTTATGCCTAGTTTGGTAGCAGTA